GTTGGACATATATTATTTGCTTTATGATTATGTGTAATTTTTCTTAACCCTTCAATCCATGTCTAGAAAATAAAAATAAAATGATAATTTAAAATAATTTCATTAATAATTAACATACTTTAGCTGTAGCTGGATCATCACCTGTTATATTCGTATGACTTATTTGTACAAAATCAATTCCACTACAAATAGTAACTGTTCGTTCATCAATATTACCTCGACCATGAACAAGTGAAGCAGACATAAGATCAGTAGCGATTTTTTGATCAGTTGGAGCTAAAAAACAAAACATTATGAAGAATGAAGACAAAAAAAAGAATAAATTCAATATACCTTTGCCTGGTCGTATATCACTAACTTGTGATAGTTCAATAACTTGTCCATCACGTCCATCACTTTGCCAATAAATAAAAAATCCATAACTATCAACACGAAATAAACAATTTTGTTCTAATGAACTATTTTCTTCATCCCAACGATCAAAATAATCGCCTTTAAGTAGACGAGCTGGTACTTCGATTTGCCAATCGAAATTATATGCTTTCGACATTAATTCAATGATATTTTAATATATATATATATAAATGTATCATCGATTAGTTGATGTTGATAACAATGGTTGAATGCCATCAATCATTGTTATTAACAAATCTAAAAAACATAATATTAGATAAACAAATCAATATTTTTTTTTTTTAAATATAAACAAAAATAAAAGTCGCTATGGTATATACTATTAATATTCAATAAAGACAATCAAGTAGATTGTCGTATAGATGGTAGATGTTGTTGATGCTTTTGACATTTCTCTGGTTGGTTGATTCAACTACCATAATTATGTGTTGATAAATCTATCAACAAACTAATACCTGATATCTAATGACATCTATCATATGAATATTCACTGAAAAAATTTGAAAAAAAAAAATAAATTCAATATTTAAATTTTAAAAATAAAAAAAAAATATTAATTAATATTTTTCATATGATCTTATCGAATATATTTTCTTTCAAATAATTAGAAAACATAATTATTGCATATATAATTAGCACTTGTGCTATGTCGTTGATTTTTTTTTTTTTACTTTAAAAACTAAAGGTTTCAAGGTGTATTGATATTAAAACAAATGAAGACATATGTTTTAAAAACAGAAGCCATTCCAAAAAGAAAATACAAAGAACTATTATATCTTAGTTTTTCTTGATGAAACATAAATGACATAATCGTTTTCTATTCGCTCGATATATGTCTATAATACATATACGGTATTAAACATATCAACACGTTCATCTAATCAACTGTGAAAATATAATCAATGTCTATCGTCAGTTGATGGGTGTGGTTTAAATTTTGGAGGCCAAGGTATTAATGAATTATCTTAGTGATAGTCGTTATTGGTTAACCTTCGTTCTGATCATTGAAGGTTAAATAATGATTAAAGACTTTTGTTTTCATCGAATTTTAATCTGAAACTTTACTCACATAGAAATTATCTCTCTCTCTCTTGATACTATGTAAAATATATTAACGGGACGAATCTCTCCAGGGGCTGTACTCCAATTTCATTGTTTTTTTTTCGCCTATAGATACTATATAGTGCCATTGGAAAAACCTCTAAACCATTTGGATATGCTAATATATTTGTATTATCCCTATAATATATATCGCACAATATTAAAAATACTGCGGTCAACAAAAAAAAACTACAAACTATAAGTCAAAAAAAATTTCTTTTTTTGGTTTTGTTTCATATCGATTATATTCACAGAAATTGTAAAAAGATTCATGTCAAATTACCATTGATTATAAAGAGTGTTCTATAGATATCGGCCTCATTTTTATTTTTGTCTTTGTCATATTTAAAGGTATAACAGTACTGTAATACTATATTCGANTTTCCTCCTCATCTACAAATTAGGTGTTTTCTCTTGGACGAAGAGTTGTACGAGGGCGAGTATTATTAACCCTCATATCACCGCCTATAAAATATTAGCCCGACTTCCACCTGAGTTCCGTGCGGATCTCAGGCTGAAAAAATGGCAATAATGTACAAAATTATGATTAGGTTAGTAAACCTCTGGAGAATATATAGCAGACTTTATCACAAGAAGAACAAATAGGAAAGTAAATGATTTGTTTTATTTATATTAAATCTTTTTCAGTCTTTAATTATTTTCGTTTCACTATGACGTTTCAAAATATATATTGCAAAAGTAACTCTCATGGACACTTCTGATCACTGTATTCCACCAACAACGACCGAATCGATGGTGATATGAGGGTTAATATCTCTATAATATATTTTTCAAAAACAATTCCACGATGAAAATTTATTTGTTTCATTGAATAAAGCAACATTTTTTCTTGAGAAATTACATTAACTATCTTTTTCACTTGCATCAATAAGAACTACATAGATGAAAAAATGGAATTTTTATATATGATGTACTTGCATTCAAAGAGCTGCATTTGTCGTTAGCGTGTTAGGAAATAGAAACCATTCTTATCGAATGAATGGTATATCCTGTCAACTACAGTGAAACTGCTACGTATAGTCTACTCTATCGATCTCGACTATCCAGTTGGCGTAGTATACAATAAATTAGTTGTCAATTATGAAGTGTCGATAACTTTGGCGGAAAGGAAACCTTCGAGTTGTACAGCATGATAATGCCTGCTGATTAAAGGATGTTAGTTTCTAACGAAATCATTTAAGGTAAGGGTGTAAGTTTTTATCAAAAGAAAATTCAAATCAATATTCACATCCTAAACGAAAAGCCTAACCAAATTCAGCCACTCATCGTAGATAAACGCGTTACATATATTCTTTATGACATACATGCCAACCATCTCTTATTCTCAGTAACAGATTATCACCTATTAACTCCGAGAACATAATCATTTCCACTGTTTGAAACCAGCCTATTGTAAAAACTGTCTTTATTAAAACTATGAATGGTTACATGAATGTGGATGTCGTCACCAGTCTTCACTTCACCAACACCTTCCCTGAACAAAGATTTAAGAAAAAATAAATATCTTTGTTCTAATGATTCAATTCTTAAATGAGATCGTCAAAAAGTTTGAGTTACTGTTGAAATAGATCTAAAATATGTTTCTAGAAGAGAAGTTCGATGAACGTAGCAAAAAAATTCCATTAGTCGCATAAAATAATAGTGTGTTTATTCGAAAGTCAATTTTAACAGCACTGATGTTTGTTGTGAATGAGACAACAAAAAATACTGATTCAAAACAATTCTTTGTCTTCCATTTAGCTTCTTCCGACCGCGTGATTATGTAGAAACACAAATAAAAGTTTCAAGTGTGATGCGATTGCTTTTCGAGCAAGCACAAAAAACAGAAAAAGTAGAGGAAAGTGTCCAAGTGACTCTGTTTATGCTGCAAACAATTATATTGAATCATTTTTTAGTTTTTCATTTTGTTGGCAATAGCGTCTCGGAGATGGTAAACACTGATCGTGAGTATTTTAAATAATATAGTGTAATTCTCTACAACATGAAATATCATCACATTCTCTCATCTTCTTACACCTTCGTCTAAAAAAAGAATATCAAGTTGGCGGAAATTTATGAGTCATGCGTCAATTGATAAAGCTCTTTGAAATCTTTGCGACTATGGTGAATTATGCATTAAGTCAGACTTAGAATCAGTACCGAATTGGGTGTGGATGTGAATGTCGATTCTACTCACGCAACACCCACCTCCATATTGACGAAGACATTTTTAGACACAAACAAGTAATTTCCCACAGATATGAATAGAGATAAGATTCAATGCAAAAAATGTGTATTTTAATTAAATAGGCCTAAAAATGATACTTGTGTTTTATTCATTATTTTGATGAATCTTAGCTGGTTCATGGTTAAATAGAATGGAATCGCGTAAGAGACTTTTGTCTATGTCTATAAACTATTTTTCATGGAATATGATAAACTGTGCAGAACTTATCTCACAAAGGAGTGAGTCTTGTTGGAAAGCTTATCATATCAAGTAATTGACTTCTGATGTCCTTTGCTCAGCTGCTTGAAATAAAATATTAACAAGGACTAAATTAAAAGGCCTCTCACATATTACTATAATAATAAGAGATGTAATTTTCCGTATCGTTGACCAAACATGAGTTGCTTCGGATGAAATATAGGCTCATCCTGAGAGAGAAAAGGTTTCTCCTCGAATCCTTTCATTATTCGATCAATATCATTCTGAGAGGATACTTAAGTGTTGGACAAAAAAGATTTAAAATTAAAAAGCGATTGACGAAGATCTATACTTTCAGATTTGTCAACAACTGTTTTCATTAGAATTGTCAGTTTTCTGTATCATCGTATTCGATATACTCGATACATAATTTCAAAATATTCAATGATACCTGACGCTAACATTCAGGCTTCTTTCTCACTAAGTTACTAAACAAAATCACAACAAACATTTGAGGATAAACGAAAATGATTAGAAGAGTACCAAATATCATTCATTTTTCATGATTTTTTTCAAAGTGAACTGTTTGGCACTATTCATCACTTCATTTAATATTCTACTAGAAAAGTAAATGCATTATAGAGGTAAATATTTTGTCTTTCGTTGGCGACATTTAGAAATAAGACAAATATTTGTTTTTGTATACATTTATTTTATCAAAAGTTGAATTTCAATAAAAACAAAGAGGTTTTAAACTAAACAAAAGACAACAAATTTATTTTAAAAAATTCGTAATTGAAAAGATAAGAATAAAATAAAGATAACGATGGCTTCGACAGGTATTGCTCAGATTTCTTACAACATTCTTCATTTTTAGAGTCATTGATTAGTGTATTTATGCATTTGTATACCAAATGAGGATTTAGTAGTTTAAAATCACCAAGAAGCAAAAGTTCGATCAAACCTGTTTCGCCATCATTCTTTCACACTTTCAGATAATAAAACAACAGACTAGTGCAGCATTTGCATCATCAAAAGCAAACAAAATTAAGTATAGATTATGGACGGCGTAGCACCTACAGCAGCAAAATCTTTAAAGCATATCGAATGGATGTGGCAGTCGAATCCTAATCCATGGTCGGAATCGGAGCTAACCGAATGGAGTTATTATACTTATGTAGAAAATATAATAATTGAAGAAGCATTCTCAAAAAGAAAGAAACGAGCTATATTGGATGACTACTATGTTGATTTCAAAGATAATGTACAGATATCCAAGAATAATGAGTACAACAGGAGACCCATAAAACGAATGGAGTATGAGAAAGAAGACAAGCCTTTAAGAGAGGAACGTTTTATAGATCTTCCTATTACTTCGAAACATTCGCTCATCGATGAATATGGTTGGGTATCACCATTTATAATGGAAGTCAGAAGAAGTTTGGGCCTTAAATCAGACGAATTACCTTGCAAAAAGCCACGTATTATCCCGATGCTTGTCAGGAAAGCTGCTTGTGGTATTATTGAAGAAGGTAAGCATATTGGAAAACGCCGAGAAGCAAAGTGTTTGGCTAATATGCTTCGAGAAAAAAAGAACCAAGGAATAGAAGAAGTATGGAAATGCTGTGCTTATCTTTACACCTTGGAAAGTTTCCTGTACAAAACCTTGAATGCAACTATGAGATTAGTTGGAGACAAGGAGCATGAACAAGTATGGCGAGGTAAAATTCGTACATTGGGTCCCTTTTGTTTATTGCTGTGGGATGATCCATTTAATAAGATAGCCAAAACTGAAATGATACTTTACCGAGGAGCTAATCTGGAATCCGAGCAAATCACTATTTATGAAGATATGGCCCAGCATCCCGACGAATATCGATCATTTCAAGCGTTTACATCATGTACCCGCAATCCTCAAAAAAGCAGAACGGTTTGGGAATACTTTGTTTATCATGAAAGTATTGTCTGCTTTTACCGCCGATCTATGCAGATTATCTGAATATCCTAATGAAGAAGAAGAACTTCTTATGCCAGGTGTTGGTTTTCGTGTTGAACGTGTTGACTTTAATCACAAGACGAACAAACATGTTGTCTACTTGGAACTAAGACAACGGTGGTCTAGTAAGTGAGAACAAGTGCTGTCGAATGATTTTTATAACATGAGAAATATTTGTTGTCACGAGTTCCATTCTCATTTGATGTGCCGTATGAAGATGGCACGTGTTGACGAAGTTACGACTTCGTTCAAATAACTGTGTCAAAGTTCTATATAATACCACAATCAGGTCGACTGTTACTGACTTTGTATACAATCGCATTTAAAATGTGTACGGTAGAGTATGAATGTTATTGCCTTACATATTACACCCATCTAAACATCTTTATCAACATAATATAAAGCGATCTTAGGGACAGCGAAGAATTCAATTGTTGATGATATTATACTTCTGCCACATGCCTTGTATGCAATGCCTAGATATTCTATTCTACGTCTTAACTCTATATTTATATTCTCTATCCTCTACCTTTCGTTGAATTAACTGCAAGTAATGCTAGATGAAACAGTCTCGATTGCTCCTAATGTAGTACTATAACTAACTGTTGAATATATGATGTCCAATTTTGACGACATCTGTACGTTGTTAAAGGACATAAATTGAAGAAAAATATATCACCAAAAATACGCAGGAGGAATCAAGTGACTTTATGAGAAGCAGTATCCACATAAACCCTGAAGATGTCGCGTTTTTCTTGATTGCTTTAGTCGTACTTACGCGCTTCCACTTCAAATTTCAAAAATGGAACATACAGCGCCCGAATAAAACAATCTTTGACTTCCGTATAGGGTGTCTGTGTTGAGGTTCTCTTTATCCACATGCACATGCACATCCACAGTTATATTTTCAATATAACAATATAGCTAGCTAAATTCTACGTTGATGATTAGAAAAATACAAAAATATGATCTCAGTTTTCCAGTCAGTACAGTGACTTCACTAATTTTCATCCAGTGGAGAGTCTTTATGTTCGTTTAGTATGATTTGACAGTTTGTGGATTTTAACTAGTTTTCAAGTATCATTCGCTGATGAGGATAGTAGGTCTATATGCTGTATACATTGAGATAATTATAAAGAAAATTCTGAAATTACTGAGACCGAACGTAGACGTTTCCAGAAATTTTCTTCAATTACGAAATTTTTATGATGTCTTTACCTTTATTGTACCTAGACTAAGGACTAAATATTGAAAGAAGCCGAATCCTACCGTGTAAGACTATGAGCATTACTAGTAATTGGCAAATTCTCTGAAAATATGTTTTTAAATTGAAGAAGTTCCTAAGTTTCGAACTTTATGAAGAAAGCTTCGTTTTTTTAAATCTGAGCACTGCTATCTTCAAACACTGAAAACCTAGTAATATAGCTAATAATCTAAAGTGAAGAATTCTACTTTTCTCATTTTCTTATCGAGTATTAAGGTTTCGTACAACGAACTTCTCCAAAGAATGAAGAATTTTAAGTTCTGAAAAACTTCACAAAACTATAGGGCAGATATTGGCAGACATCTAGTTTTCTCAAAAATACACGAGCTATTGACCATCGGAGATACTAAAACCTGATAAACTAAATCGATATAAGATATCTCTCGAAAAATCAAGTCGAATTTATATTGTAGTGGCACACAAAGCGGACATCGAATTTATCAACGGCAACGAACAAATATATGCTCAATATGACCCTATACGAATTCTACCATTACATGATTGTAAAAAAAGTACAACACGAAAAACTAGTTGGTCACACAATTATGGAATTCAAAGATGCTGAGATGATTTCCAATATGATCTAACTACTATACGATTCCAAAAATATTGAATGTTGAAAAAAATATCGAAAATTTTGGAATTGAATAATACTTAAATGAATTCGAATATCATTTTATCATCCTTTAATTTCAAAATAATTCGTTTTCGAAAAAATATCACCGAATATTTTGGAATTGAACGGTGCTTAGATGAATTCTAATATTATTTGATAATCATTAAATTCTGAAAGAATTCGAAATTGAAAGCAAGCATCCATGTGTTTTGGAATCGAACTATGGTTAAATGAATTCCAATGTCATCTAGTCAGCATTCAGCTGCAAAAGAACTCGATGTTAGCCAAAAACAACACCGAAGATTTTAGAATTGTGTGATTATAATATGAGTTCCAATATTATCTAATCACCTTTCAGTTCCTAAACAGTTCAATGTTGACAACAAAACATTCGATATTTTCGAACTTAATGATCTTCAGATGAATTCTACTATCAAATTACCGCCATTGAGTGCTAAACGAATTCGACGTTGGAGAAAACATCGAATATTTTGGAATAGAATAATTATCATGGTAGTTCTAATATCACCTAAGCACTATTCAATTTCAAAATAACTTAAAGTTGAAGAAAAGCGTCGAATATTTTGGAACCGAATAATGATGAAAAGAGCTCTAATATCATCTCATCATCATTAAATTCCTTCATATTCGATTGTTTTTTCAATATTGCATTGTTTTGGAATTGAACAATGCTCAAATGCGTTCTAATATAATTTAATCATCACTCGGTTACAAAACGATTCGCTCTTGAGAAGAAATCGAACAATTAGGAATTGAATGATCATAAAATGAGTTCTAATATGATTTACTCTTCGTCATATTCCTGAAAAATTCGATGCTGGAAGAAAACATCGAATATTTTAGAACTGACTGATCGTTAAATGAATTCTAATACTATCTAATCAACATTCAATGCCAAAACAGTTGAGTCGTGAAAAAAAAATGCAGAATATTTCGGAATTTAGTGATCTTTAAATGAGTTCTAAAACCATCTACTGATCATTGAAGTGCAAAAGAATTCGATGCTAAAAAGAAAGCATCGCATTATTTTAGAATTGAATGATGATGAGATGAGTTTTGAAATCATTTAATAATCACTCGGCTCCAAAAGAATTTGACGTTGAAAAAAGAATCCAATATTTTGGAATTGAACGATGATGAAGTGAGTACGAATATCATCTAATCACTATTCGATTCTGAAAGAAAACGATGTTGAAAAAGAAACATTAAATGTTTAAGAATTAAATGATAATGAGATAAGTTTTTATATTATCTCACCATCATTAAATTTCAAAAGAATTCGATGCTGAAAAAACACATGGAATACTTTGGAATTGAATCATCCTACGATGATTTCTAATGTCATCTAATCTTTCTTTAATTTTTAAACAAGTCGATATTGAAAAAGAAATATCAAATGTTTTTGAACCGAATGATGCTAAGATGGATTCGAATATAGTCTCATCATCATTTGATTGCACAATAGGTCGATGTTGAAAAAGAAAACGCCAAATATTTTGGAATCGAATGATCTTTTGATGAATTCTTATATTATGTATATCATTATTCAATTCAAAAACAATGTGATGTTGAAAGAAAACATTTAATATTTCGGAATTGAGTGATGCTAAGATGAATTCTCATATGATCTAATGATCATTCAATTCCATATCAATTCAATTTCGCAAAAAAAGCTACTATATTTCGGAATTTCATAATGTTTTGATGAGTTCTATTATCATCTAATGATCATTCAATTGCAAAAGAATTCGATATGGAAAAGATAATATCGAATATTTTGGAATTGAATAATTATGAAGGGAATTCTAATATCATCTGAACATTACTCAGTTGCAAAAGAAACTAATGTGAAAAACAAATTTCGATTGTTTTGGAATAAGTTACTTTTTCTATTGATTCAAGTATTAAGGCAAGCGAGTTACCATGTTATGATTGATTATATGGCTTTTAATTTATCAGTTTCGGAATCATGTTTGGTAAGGTGTGTACGATATTTACACAGCTGATTTAATTTGCATTTATTGTGTTATTTCAAGTTGCGGTTGGAAAATTTCCGAAAGCATATTTCGTGCCTTTGTTCGATTAGCTCATGATATCTGAGTGTGTAGGATATAGAGGTTTTTCTTCGGCGCTGACGAGGGAAACGAAGAGATTTTTGATATTTCAATCTGGGTAGAATGTGATCCAAAGGTAATAAACTCTATGATGTGATTTGATGTTGTGACCAACAGAAAACGGAATGAACGATTGGCAAAGTTCGTTCATGAACAGCGTAATGCAGCTATTGACTTTTGAATTCTATCAAGACATTGATAAGTAGAATAGTGAAACGTTCATAGACTTTTATAAGCGTTCAATGGTTACATAAGCAGAATGGAAAAGTGAACGTTTAAGATTTCCGTGAGATTCATTACAATTGAACGGTTCTATTGTACGATCTATTCAGTTAGTCAGTTATTAGACGCTTTCTTTAAGTGAATCTGCTATGTTAAGCATGCAATGAAATTGAAAAATTGAAAGAAACGTGAAATATTCACATACCAGGCATTATAATTCAAATTATAGCTGCGCCTGCATAATGTTGACAACATACAGTTAAAAAACCTTATGGGAATGTTTGAATGACACAATACCATCAAGTTATCTCCATGTAGCCTAAATATTGACAAAGACAAAACGTAAAATTTATCTCGAAGTCATTGTTGTGTAACTAAGTCACACTATGTTGATGAAACCAAGAAAACAGACAATATGTGATAAAACAACTCAGAAGTTTTCAACTCTGAAAAAGAAAACGAACGATGTTTCCCTTTATGAACTTCCATGTACTATACTCATTTCAGGCATACGCTAATAAAGTCGGAGTCTTGAACTAGGTTGAAACAAATCTACAATAATCTAACTCCTAAGAAAACTGCTCACCACCGAAGTAAAACAGATGCCCGTTCTAAGCTTAAATCAAATAAATTTGTGTTCACATTTCCAATAAAATAAAATTGTCTTGCACGTTTCAAAATCATGGAACTTTTGTTTAGCGTTGCAAAACTTACTTTCATTTCAATGATAAATTAAAACGAAATTTCGTTTCACATGGAATATAATTGCGTTTATATTTAACATACTACTATTGAAACCGGTAACGGTTTTCCTTTGCCGATATCGGTTTAAACCGGCCAGCTACTAGTCATGGCTACTTCTAAATCACTACAGAAATTACGGAAGGCTTCTCTTTCACTATTATACTGCTTTTGTGAAACATGATTGTCAACAAATGTTGAATTATAGAGTGAGAAAATTGATTCAATGTAGTTCAGCGAGCTACAAAGTCTGCAACAATCACGTCGATGTTCTTTTAATCTATTGACACAGATTTTAATATACCTATGGCAGCTTAGTAGATTTCGCACTTCGATGTACTTTGACGGTAAGCCAAGACGCTAACATTTGTAACTTCTTAGGTATGCATAATCTAGTATTACCATGTGTCGACAACATATTAGTTTGGAGTACGATGAAGGACGAGTGTAAAATGGAATTTTCGCTTTTTTCTTCTTTGGTTCTCAAAATAATGACTCAACCATAAAGAATTGATCCCTTAGTACTTTTGAGATTTCTCTTCTATTATTCGCTTAACTGAAACACATTTTTGATATCAAAAGATAGCGCTTGAAATTCTGCACAAAACGGTATAATTTATTTAAAAAATATAGTCTCCTCTATTCTTTTGATCAGACATAATCGTACACTAAAATCAAGTACAGAATGTAAAAACTTCTTTTTTAACTCCCCCGAGGAAATGCTTGATTTTTATCTATCAAGATGACCTTTTTTGTTTTGTTGTCTCAATTCATAGTTTCAGTCAGTTCATTGCATCCACTATAACCTAACGGATTTAAATTACAAGATTCGGTAACCAATGACTCACCAGCATGAAGGCACAAATATGATCTGTACACTATTTTTGGCTGAAGCTACATGTGAAGACTTCAACAGCATCCTGATAACATTCACTGCATAAAATTAGTTCACTCTTTTTTGTGCAAATTAGTCATGGTTGACTCTTTAATCTTCTTGTATAGCAAATAACAAAGATGTTCATACGATAGCAGTGGTACGCGCTTTGTTCCAACAGGTAAATTTATTTTTCACACCTGTTCCTTGTAAAGTAGGCGCTGCTTTATCTTTAAGCTATTCAGTTTTGTTCGAACTGTTCGTGAACGACCGAGAGAGTATGAGACATGTGTAGAGTCGATCTTCTTGATCACTTTTATGCATAAATAATTGGTTGTTGCGGGATATTGGTGTGGGCCATCTCTACAATAATACATACAACCGCATCCAGACCCATCATCATCTAAACCTACACATGCTCGTGCTTATCTTGAAATAATTTCAAATTTTCATCTCATTTTAAACTACCCGATAAAGAAAAAGATCGCAATAAACAATAAGACAGTTTTCCAGATCAATTGAAGAAGATTATCAATGTTTTAAGAAGAAAAAAACACTAAGACTCGATTTTGAACACTCGTACATTCCTCAGATCAGTTCAATATTTTGCGATGATGTTTAAAAAAAATTAGTTTAGAAGCATTATGGTGCCAGTGTAGGAAAATAAACTGAGACTAGCAATGAAAACTCATAATTTCGAAATATTTGTGCTTCAATAAATTGTCTTTCAACGGTCCATATTCTCAATCATGATGACATAGAAATTTCAATTGATTAATTCAATAGTCAATAGAAGATCGATTTGATAGATACAGCGTCTCATAACTTGATGACAATAAAGAAGTAAGAACAAAAAAATCTATGACTATCATTAGTTGAAGAATGCAATGGTCGAATACTAAACAATTTCAACGGATTGTCTTCTCGATTTGCCAAGAAATCTTGCACAGTAGCCGATCTATTCATAGTGAAATGGGTACTGCCACCGAATAGAATTCCACGATCGACGGTTGAAACACTGCTAGTCCAATTGAAACTGCGAACAGCTACACCAAAATCCATTTCACCATAGCGAAAGAGAATGAAACCGATGCTAACGAGATCCAGTCCATCGACGTGTCCTTTCTTCTGACGTACAAGACCGATCGCTTGAAAATAGGAACTTTGATCACCGACGTATTATTCAATTTAAAATAAGGTGCCCATGAATAAAGAAAGTAATTGGTCAAATTAATTCGAGCATCAATGTAAGCTGTAGAGTTTTCTGATGCAGTGCAAAATATATCGATTGTTGTTTGCATCGAACTGAGCAACATTTTCATAGTGAGCCATTGTATATCTGCCAATTGTAGAATTTCCATAAGTTGCTTCAAACTGGATAAGTCTCCATGAACTCCATCCGGATAAATCATTATCGCATTTGCCATCGTCTGAAACTGAATCAGATTGGGATAGACAATCACAATCACACTTCTAGATTAGTCTCGTCCGGTAGCTGCAAGAGTCTCGGAGATTTTCAACCAGCTCTTTCGCATGACTTCCACCGACATACACGTGATCTCTGGGTGTTGTAGCATTTCGAACTTTCAATAACGAATATGGATAAAATGTAGTATTCCATCCTCAATTGAATGTAAATTCTACGGTAGTATTTGTTGATTGTATCAAAGTAGCTTAGTGTGGTACGAAATCAGTGACGATTTGTTTTCGAGTAAAATCGTTTAAGGCATAAATTCAGTAGAGATCAATGAAGAATTCCGACGAATGAGCAGTGAATTTCACAATGATAGGATCAATTGTATAAGTGTCGATAAGTACACGTTGTACGAGAAGATTCAAATTTGGGTCGTGCACAGTTCGTGAATCATCAGTGGCTGCAGTCAATGTCGTTGGAATTCCGAAATGGATCAGGAAGAATATCGTCAGCGCACGAACTAGTCTTTGCATTTCTATCGTTTTATTCGAATTGCTTCTATCAGCAAATACGAAAGACCAAAAAGATCTAAAATTTGATCTTGTGTTTGTGAGTACGAAGTTTTTATCTTTTGTTGAAAACAATTCAAGATATTGAAATAATGCGGTCACATGGAAGACTCGCTTAAATTGAGTAAGACAGCGAGAAAAAATAAGAAAAAACAATGAGTCATATTTCATTACATCCTTAGGTAGAACACCGGAAAAAATCGATGATCATGATGGATGTGGATGCTGCTGCGCATATGAAATTTGCGTTCCAGTGTGTGGCTTTGAGTTTGGATACGGTGGAGGCCTTTAATTCAGTTATTCTCACATTCATACGCACATACATACGCACGCTCACTTAACCATGCCCACATGACACACCACTCACATTCCTAGATGGTGCCTTGATTTTTGTCCATTATAATGTCTATAGATCGCTTTTGTAAACCTATCTAGTATTTTTACTTAAGCGATGTGACGAAGCATTACGCCTCGCTCGATTCATATTAACAGAAGTCACAAAAGTACGCATCGTTGTTCTTTTACACGTAAAGCTCCACAAGGAAGCATTTTGAGGGCTACAGCTTATATTACTGGTCATCATGACCTGCAGCAAATTTTTCAACCATCTGAAAATAATCATTTTCCATAGAGCTAAAACAGAAAAAAGTACTTCGTGATTTTCGTGAATTTTATGTCTAAAACACGAAAAAAATGGTTACCGGAATTATGCTCATCAGCAACACTTGCTCCCAAAGCAGTTGTTTCACAACACTGTATGTTTCATAAAAAAGTTCGAAGTCATTTTTCAAGAGTTTCGGATGAACATGAACCATGAAACAACTAAATTACTTTGGAATCAGTGCGGAATCTAAGAACCTAACCGAAATATACCGATCAATTTTGAATTTATCATCAGCCTCAATGAATATTCAGCATTGTATGGACAACAGAAAATGTATTATTCAATATCTACTGGAGGATGCAGAAAAAAGAAATTAGCAATGTACAGGAGATCAAAAAGAGACGCATCATAAAAAGAAAACAAATGAAGAAGCATTGTTCTCCTCTTCCGAATAATTTTTCTAAGCTATGTAACTATTGTCATATTTTGACTTCAACCAATTAATATCCGTTTCAAATAAAAAGAGACGGTCAGTGTTGATTGAATATCTCCATAACGATAATAGCTAGAGACCTGCGGTTTTTTTTTGTTCGATAGCCCTATATGAAGCAAGTAAATTATATGCTAGGAATGAAAATTTTCAAACTTGTCTTTATGAAGTTTGAGGGCTTTTTTCGAAAAAAAATCGAACACTGAGGGTGTTAAAGAGGTGAATTTCGACACCTAATTATTGCAAACAGTAGGCTAGACTGTTGCCTTCATTCAAAAATAAATCGTGCCTTTCTACGATATTCTGTTAGAAAATACCAGCATCTCTCGTGAAACCTCCAAAAAGCCTTATTTTGCCCTCAGGAACATGAAATATTTCATCCAGCAAGCATTTCAGATGATTAATTCTGACTTTTCAAACACGAGAGTTTCGTTGGAGATATTCTTAGCTACTTCATTCCTCAATATGATATCGATTCAGATAGCCCATTTGTCCTACTGTGATATATCATTGGCTATTTTTCAGTAAAGTCTTTTACCATGGTTTTTATTGAAGCTGGATTACGTGATAGAAAGATTGTTTAGAAGTATTAGAATCAGCTGATGTCATCTATCACTTTTGTGCGTTGTCCTATATGTTGTTATTTTCTTATTCTTCTATGACGTCATGTGCTTTCATTACGTCATATGCACTCTTCCATGACATCAGGTATTCTTCTATTCTGTTATCTGTACTCTCTCTCTTCTCTCTCAGACCTTTTTCTATAACACGCTGTGATATTTCAAAACCTATATATAGTCACTGATTTTCTACAGTAAAGCATGTGAATATATTGGATACAATTATCATTGGCTATTACCCAATAGAAGCTATAATATTTCTGAAAGAATCAACTTCACAGGATTTTCTCGAATTATTATTCTCTCAATCATTTGGAAATTTTCGTGTCAATATGCCTAAAGGTGAAGAATTTTCTGTCGAACAAAAGAAGCTCATGTTTCGAGTGATCGGCTTCGTCGAATCTGAGAGACGGTCTAAAGATACTTCTGACAAGCACAAGCGCTCGAGTGATGGCTCTCTTGGGAATTAGCTACAGCTCTGTTCACAGATTGAAAAATGAATTGAAAGAACTTCGACAAGAACAGAGAATGGGGAACAGCAGCCAAGATGAAGAGATGGTTTCCGAAGCCAGCAGGATTCGTACTCGAGCCCAGTTTGCCTCTGCGTCCGCTCCCACTGGCTTTCGAAAAACAAAAAAGACTTGGTCTGCGAGAAAACTCGTTCTAGCCGCCTCCTCCACCGATGTTCCAATGCCCATCGCACCAAAGAAGGAAGGTAATGTCGGACGACAACGATCTGTTCTTAGTGAAGTTGGTGAAGATTATATTCATTATCATTTCCATTCGATTCTGGTAAGAGTAAGCAATGATACTTATTTCATCCTATGCACTTCATTTCAAAGGTTGAACGACACTACCCAACTGTCCACAATCTTCTGACAAGCCTTTTGACGGAGCATCCCGATTTTCCTATCAAATTCGAAACGACTCTTTGGCGACAGATGAAGCGACTCGGTTTAGTTATAAGCAAACGAACACAGTGACTATTCCACTCGACTGAGTATCGTTCGTTGCTCAGCGAGCGGCCTGTTTTCGTCGTCTTGATGATCTTCGAAGGGATCAGGCATTCATTTATTAGCATGATGAAACATGGTGCAATGTTGGAGAAGAGAAGCGCTCAATTTGGGTTAATGAGGCAGGACAAGGACGACTCCGGAAGAGCGATGGCAAGGGAAAGCGGTTGGCAATCTCGGCAATGATCAACGAAGAAGGTTTCCATAAGGAGAGTGTAGATATGTTTACATGAGACGTTGATCATACAATGGTGAGTTAAAGACACTTCCTTTGCAATCGAAAACGATTCTCTTGACAAACAATCTAGAATTCAAGCCATTTTGTTCAATGGGCCTCGGTCACTGCCTCGCAATTGCGCTTGAAACACGGGCCACGAGTTCGAATAGCGATCGTGATTGGCAGTGCAACTTGGCACAACCAATTGACGGAGGATTCAATACCATCGAAATGATCTTGACGAAANTGGTTATCAAAAAAACAAGAAAAAAACTTTTTCTATATTGCTCGTGATCATATTGAACATAGTTCATTTATATTAGGTGGACTTTGGGGTGCATCTTTGATACGTGCTCGTCATACTTTAGTTAATATTTTTAAACCGATGCTTATACCATCAATAGTTCAGAATTATCACATTAATGAAGATCAGAAATTTCTAAACGATTATGTTAAAGACCACGTTAGAAATCATTCTTTAATATTTGATAGTTATTTTTGTGAAATTCTTGGTGGTCAACCATTTCTTTCTCAAAGACCGATTGATGGTTGTTATCTGGGTTGCATAAGACCTTGTTGTAACAATGCAAAGAATGTTCATTTTCGTGAACGTAAAATACCTTGTCCGATCGAATGTAGACCGAAAGATCATCTAGATTGGATCTATTGCTAATATTTTCGTTTTTTCGTGAATGATCTAATTTATTTGAATAAAAAAAACTGTTAGCACTATTTCGCCGAGATTAAAGTGTAAAATCTGATGTAGCTGCTGTTGTTAATCACAGGAAGATGGTTCTATTCTATCTGCTTTGGGACGCATTTCTTCGCGATATTTTCACTGAATCCTTCAGACATGCAATAAGCAGGTAGTTCGTATATGTTATATATAGTTGGTCAAAGTTTTCATCAATAATAAATAAAAATAAGAAGATCTATATAAGTCTGTTTGAATTCTTTTTCTTAAATATTTTTAACTACCTTGAAAGTCACAGAAGCAAATCGTATGTCACTTATTTAATCAGTTAAACTACATTCGATACAATTGTTTAATAAAAGATCACATGGCGCTACGTCTGGCAATTATGGCGGATATGACTTTCTATTGATGCGTTCTCCTGCTAAATTATTAAAGATCCTCTCTCAGAAAACTCGATTTTTTTCCAAATAACTTAGTTTTAATATAAAGACATAAGTATGGTGCTTGCGTTGTCTAATAAATGAATTCATAAAAATAGTCTTAATTCTCTTGATCAGCAATGGACCAATCAGATTAATTGTTGGTTCAAGTGTTTTCTTTTCAAAACGATATTCTGAAACCATTTCTCAGCTGTTCTTCATTTTTAATATGATCGCTAGATAGCAAATACTGTTGCTTCTCGATCTGTTTAATACCGACATTTGAAAAACGATATTTCAAAAATAATGAGAGAACAGTGTCAAATGACTTCAGATCTAAAGACAAATATCATCATTCAACTGAACGTGCTGAATTACTGCTGGCAAGATGTTTTTTCCGAGTGATCCTAGATAGATTGGCTGAAATCAGAGATCTCATGGAAACCCTTATAACTCTAGAACTGCAGATGTGGATAGTCTCTTCTCGTTCACACCCACACCCACATCATCTTCTTCTGCATAAAAAAACAGCAAAAACATATAAGCATAGACATATGTCACAATGTACTCAAGATGGTTTTGGACATGTGATCTGAGACGAACAATCGTTAGTAACTCGTCCAGGATCAATTAAGGAATGGTTGTAGGGAAGTTGGAACATACATGTCAAATAATATAAACAATCAAGAATGACGGCATCCTTTAATTCTGATTATAATTTGAGCGAAAAAAGGGTTTTTCAGTAAACCTTTCAAAGCGTTCAGATGAAACAGTCAGTTAATTATTTCTATAATATCATTCTTATAAATAGAGAAGATTGAACAATATATAACTATTTTCAAAGACATCTATTTCATATACACAGGTAATCAAATAGTTTTCCCATAGAAAAAGAGCAATGTATATCCTCAATATGTATAATTATTTGTGATCAATAAGAAAACTGACAAAAAACAATGATTCCTATATTTAAAAGAATAACTTCAAAATAGTTTTCATTTTCATTGATCATCAGATAGTATTTTTTATTGTACAAGGTCCGTACTTCAATATTTTTCAATATACTCGGTGAATGTGCCATTACTAAACGAACACATGAAACACATACTCGTCACACTTCGCTAGATTCATATATATGATAAATTGCTACAAGCAAGTAATAACTGCATATTTTGAAAAATGGCCAATATTCATCGAAATCGTGGATGCTCTCTAAGTCAATGCTGTCTTCACATATTGGTTTTTCTAATTGGATTCCTAGTGGTTTCTTTACCTTCTTCATTTGTCATTATCCAAAGAGGAAAACAACATTTTAAAAAACCTGACATCAAATATGAAGAGACACAAGAACAACGCATTGAAAAAGAATTCAATAAAATCTATGAAGACTTCTCTCAATGGAATTTAACATTGTGTAGTCATGCATCATATCATCGTGGACGACATCAAAAAGTAATTTCTATTTCTGTTTATGGAAAAGAATCAAAATTTATTGATAATCAAATGTATTCATGGACAACAACTATTTTACCATTTTTTGAACTTCTCGTTAGTGAAATGAATCAATTACTGCCACAATGGATTCTGCGTGTTTATATCGATTTTACTGGTAGTACAAAATCCCAACGAAAACATTTTTATAAATTTTCAAATGTTGATATTTGTGATATGAATAATATTCCTATGTTTGGTTCATCTTTACATAAATTTTTACCAGGTAGAATGTGGCGATTTTTACCAATATTTGACCCGTATGTTGAATATTTATTATCACATGATCTTGATTCACCAATAGTTCAACGTGAAACAGAAACAATCAAAATGTGGTTATCAAAAAAACAAGAAAAAAACTTTTTCTATATTGCTCGTGATCATATTGAACATAGTTCATTTATATTAGGTGGACTTTGGGGTGCATCTTTGATACGTGCTCGTCATACTTTAGTTAATATTTTTAAACCGATGCTTATACCATCAATAGTTCAGAATTATCACAGTAATGGAGATCAGAAATTTCTAAACGATTATGTTGAAGACCACGTTAGAAATCATTCTTTAATATTTGATAGTTATTTTTGTGAAATCCTTGGTGGTCAACCATTTCTTTCTCAAAGACCGATGGATGGTTGTTATCTTGGATGTATAAGACCATGTTGCAACAATGCAAAGAATGTTCATTTTCGTGGACGTAAAATACCTTGTCCGACCAAGTGTAGACCAAAAGATCATCTAGATTGGATCTATTGCTAATACTTTTGTTTTTTGCGAATAATTTAATTTATTTGAATAAAAAAGTTGTTAGCACTATTCCTCCGAGATTAAAATGTGAAAGTTGACGTAGTTGTTGCTATCTATCGCAGAGAGATGGTTTTATTCTATCTATTTTGAGAGACATTTCTTCACTATCTTTTCGCACTTAATCCTTGAGAAATACACGAACAGAGTGGTTCGTATATATGATCTTTGGTCACATATCAGCTGCGTCTGTGAAATGAGGAGCAGATTGAGATGTATCAAAACGAATAAATTGTTGATGCTTACCATTTGTTGAGTTCTATGCATTGATAAAAAAAATGGAACATTTTTCATACTGACTAGTCTTTGAAAACCAAACTATTTTGATTTTATAAAAGTTTTTGTACAACAGATTCTTATCAGCTACTGTTGATAATAAATGAAGCTCATGTTGAGAACAATTTTTTAAGCCAGTGAACATGTAAGAGTCTATTGCATGAGTAAAAAGTAGAATGTCTTGTCTATAATAAATCTCGTTTATGTTTAGTTCTAATATTTTTTTTCCAGATACTATTCAATTGCAACAAAAAATAATTTTTAAAAATGAATAATGAATTCAAGCGATGCTATATTAAAATTCGAACTGTTTCCTCAATTGGTACAAAGACAATCTACAAAGAACTTTTAACAGCATTAGAACCTGACGCTTCATCATGTCCAACAATTTCAAGATTGGTAGAGCGTTTTCGTGAATGAGGAGACAATGTTCATGATGACGTCTCGATTTAGTAGTCTCGTTTGCGAACTGACAGATATAAGTAATTGGAAATCAATAAAAGCAAGAATGAGTTCAAATTTTTTTTGTAAAAATTTGGGTGATATCTCGCGTGAATCACTAACGATTATCGTTTGTCGAAGTAGATTTGAACCAGAAACTTTGTTTTCTGTATCCTTTACATCAAATAATCCTATTCTTATGCATAATTTAGATAAAGGCAAGAATATACATCATAACTGTTTATAATAAAAATTGCCTCGAGCATGTTGTCAAGGAAATATGACAACAAAGGGAAGTCATTAGGTGTAAAAGGTTAAAATTGCTTCATGACAATGCTCGTTTCATATTCAACCAGATGTTATTAATTATTTAACACAATAAGATATCAGTACATTGTTGCATCCGTCGTTTTCATCTGATCTTGCATCATATAACTTTCAGCTAAATATTTATCTCAAGCATAGTTTAATCGACTAAACAGATGAAAACTTATTGACTCGCACAGTTTCTGATATAGCTAAAAATATTCCGGAAGAGAAGTTTGACAAAACATTTGACAAATTGTTAGAAAGAATAGAATTTCATATCAATAATCACAGCAACTATTTTGAACATTTAATAAAATAAAATTAATAACATCTCTTTATTTTATATTTTTATTTAATGTTGTGAGGATATTTGATTAATCCTAAATATTTTTTTGTGATTCTAAAACTAAATGTATACTCTCATCGAAGCTTTAAATAGCCATCTTCACAAGAGAAAATTTGTATATAACACTGAATTCATCGATCAAAAACTTTATATCAGTGAGTAGAAGTTTCGTCACGTGTCTTTCTCTATCTTTTTCTCATTGTACTGTAATTTTTTTTCTGAAGACATCAAAACATGATTATATCTGTCAATCAACAACTGACAAATAATTGAAAGAATATTCTATCCAATGAACAATAACAGTCATCGTTCTACAATTAAAGTGAATGTAAACTATTCCAAAGTAAACGTTCTCTTCATGTTGACATTTTCTCGTGAAAAAAAAATGCATTAAGCTAAACAAATAATTGAAAATATTCGATTACATTAATATTTTTTCTTCCCTTCTTTATCAATATCAAATTTTTCTTTACTCGTAAAAATTCATTTTATTCCACTTCAACGACAATCGTTTTTACAATATGGTTTTTTAAATAATAGAACAATACACAACACATATACAATGAAAAGAAAACACAAAAAAAAAGAAAAATGTATTGCAGCTGAATTAAATATAACAGTTAAGAAAAAGACGAAATAGGACAAAAAGAAACAAAAAGTTTCATCTATAAGCTATCATCATTTCAAGCTTATGTATTAACAAATAAAATACATTCATATTCATTCTTTTTCTTTTGTATTCATTTAAGTAATTACAGTGAAAGAATGTCCCTAGATTAAAAAAAAAGAGAAATTAATTAAATCAAATATTTATTTTCATCTAATTATAATTTATATTTACCATCCAATGAGCAACAAGCATAGCAGCAAGAAAACTTAAAAATTGTGCAATAGCCATAAGAGTAAATGAATATCCTGTAGTATATTTTGCACCAATATATATATAAAGTGATATAGCAATGAGAATACCACTTGAAAAAAGTAATATAACTGATAGAATACCAGAAATACGTGCTAAATTATTGTTTGCATCTGATTTATTTCTTGATAAACCACTGAATATAGTCAAAATAGCTGCAACACCAATGGCAATCATAGCCTAAAAAGAAATAATCAAATCGATAATCTAAACAACTTTTATTATATATACCACAATAGCTAAAGCTGCTGGTCTTCCACCATTTGTTCGTATACAAATACCTGCTATACAACGTTTCCAAAGACCTACCAAAAAAATTTTTGTTTTCGAATTGAAACATTTATTTTATTTTAATTCATTTACCAGCGTAAGTATTTAGATCAGTTGACCACCAATAATTAGTTGTAATACCTATAACTGTTAATACAACAGCAATTATAGCAATAAGTGCACCAATAAATGGAAAAATTCGAAGAGTAGCCATGATTGTTTTTAGTGATATATGACAAAAAATTTGATCTAGAATATAAAAGTCACTTTGAATGGTATAGATAGAATGAAGTGAAAAAAAAATGCATCGTTCGATTTCGAGCACAATTCATTTTAAATGTGTAATGAAAAGACCAACATTTTATATACCAGTTAGAAACTACAGAAAAGAAAAAAAGATTCACTCTCGTTCTTGTAAAGATACAAAATAACACCATATGCGAAGAGATATAATGAGTTCGTCATCGAAACGAGTGCAATAAGTATGAAGCGAAAGCGTGTGGATATTTGTTTACCGGGAATGCAAAAACATGTTTGTACATTCTTCCGCAGCTTATTACTATTAATATCATAGACGTAACATGATAAGACAGAAGGCATAAAGAATGTCAAGGGTTTTTTTTTCAGCTAACAACTTTAATCGAAGATACATGAATGTGTACAATTGACAATAGAGAACAAATGTTACTTTGCTGAAATAAGGAAATAGATAATAATGATATAACACTAAGTCAAGAGATTTTAATTTCACATTGTTGTTTAGCATTTGTAATTTTAACAGTTGAAGTCATATTAATTATGTTTGAGAATATATTCTCTAAAAACGTAGAATGGTTTGATCATATGCGTCATAGGAAAAAAAAACGAGAAACGAAATGTAATATTATATAGAACTATAAAAGATAAGTGTATTCTTTCAAATTGATTCATTGAAACGAGATATAGTAATAAATTGAACGATTATATATGATTACATGATCAGAATCGATATATTCACAATGTGAGAAGAAACAACATACTATTTTATTTATCTTCACATATTGAGTTTTAATATCGTGCAGTTCTTCTTTGTACATAATACAAATAGAATCATATTTTACTATAGATAAATGTAACTATATCTATAATAAATTTTCTTTTCATTTGTTTGCTGCTTGTGGCAAATTTTTTTTCTATCGCTTTTAATTTTACTCATCAGCATTTACATAGAAATACTATGATTGTTTTTTTAATTTGAATTCTAAACACAAACATAATAATTACAAATGTTGATCTATGACTAACGAACAAGAGAAAAAGATATGAGTAATGTAGAATCCTTGAATAAGTTTTAATACAATATATATGTTATATTGCAATTGCACTAGTTGACGTAGTTATAATATCAGCATTATCATTTATCAAAGCTATTTCAAATTTAATGATTGATGATATATTTTAGTCAGGATATATACATACATCTTTTTTTGCTTTCGAGAAAAATATTTATAAAATTATTCATAAAAAAAAAGAATTAACTTTTATTTGTTTTACATAATTATGAATGCATTCAAACACACATTGAGTAAATGCGAAGACTTTATGTGACGGAATTTTTAAATAGCGGATGATTGAAAAGTTTTTAGACAAGATGTTTTTTCACTTCTGACGTATTTTTGACAAGTTAAAAACTATTAGTTGAATTTTTACTTCGAATACTATCTTAGAAATTTTGTTTAAAAGTAAGGAACCAAGCTATCAAAAGTTTATAGCCCGACTTAGGTAAAAGCTACAATTGGTGATCAGTGCAAATAGTCGTTTTCGGTCCCGATTAGAAAAGAAAATTTTTGCCTATAGTGCCACGCTTAGTAATGCATGCATCAATGAAAATGCGATAATGTCTTCTAGCAGTGTCAATGCGCACGAAACGTGTTGCACGACCTGCATGACCTCTAATATCCTCCTACTTGAAGATTGATTACTTTTTTTAACTCACTAATACTTTGTCTATTCTGCACGTTTATGTATTCGACAACAATCTTGTTATTTACGAAAAAAAAGGATTAATTTTTACTATTAAAGTTGTAACGATAAAAGTCGAAGTAATTGTTCATAGTCAATAATCTGCGCATATACTTTTAAAACACACGAGTCATAAGAACGTGATATTTTATGCAAGTCTTACAAAGTCATAAACTACGTATATTACTGTCAATGAAAAAGTATTGGCCCTGGTCTCGGAACTACCTTGGTCATATCTAGTTACCGCTTAGTTAAATATCACATTTTTGTACAGAAGTATCCGCTCTATAAAGCGACAATTTTTATCATGTTTGAAAAGGAATTTATAGAGTGAATAAAAATCTGTTGCCTCATCATTAAACATTATTTTTCATGTCTTTTGAAAAAGTACCTCATCACTCTTCAACAATTCTGGTCTCGAAAACGTCGGCCTATAAGCTCTATCCAAACTAACTTTTTGGGCTTTTTAAATATTGTTTCAGTACTCTCAGGTAAAAATCGAGACAAAATTTTTAGGGTGATATTCGAAAAGAGCACAAAGTTCTGATTACTAATTTATAGCTTTTTACTCGTCGGAAATACTATCTGGTGGACCACAAGTGAACAAACATCTTGTCTACAAGCTTTCTGATCACCTGTTACTTATTGCGTTTTAATATTATATATGTATCAGTTCGATATAAACTATATGAATAAACTTAATTTTTAGAAAAGAATTATCAATCGTGTTATTTTAGCTTAAAATAAATAACAAGATTTACACTCAAATTTCAAAAATTTTGCAAATAAAATAAGTCTAAGATTTTGTTCTGATTGTATACTCAGGTGTTGTTTCGATCGAGCGACAATATTATGAAAATCTAGTTCATGGACTACAGGACTTACAAAGGAATAGTCCCAGATATTGAATTGGTTTTTCAGCTGAGACTTAATGCATATAGTAGACCTTAATGACGTATGTCTTCACTAAAACGAGTTCGTACTTATTACCTGTTTCTCAGGAAATAAAACGTTTTTTGGAAATTTTTGCTGTAGAACCACACATTTATAGCAAGACCATATTTTCGAATTTCAACCTGAAACTTTCCTAGCACAAAGATGTTGATTAGGTTAACTTGCATAAAAATTTCAGTTTTTGAACAAAGTCTTTCTGAGATATTGAGCTCTCAAGCCATAGGTCCATTTCTTTGTGAAAGTTTCATATTCCGGCGAGGCTTAGTTTACATATCTTAACATTTTTTATGTTATCTTATCTAATCGAGTTCCTCACGTTGGCAAAATTTCAGATCAAAATTGGAAAATATGATACCGCTGTAAATATGTGATCCTATAGCGAGAAAATTCAATAAAAACGTTCGATACTCCATAGACACAGGTTATAAGTACGAACTCGTTTTACGGTAGGTATAGTTCACTTAGATTTGCCATGTACATTAAATCGCAGCGAAAAAGCAAACCAGCACTTGAGAAGATCCCTTTCTTAGCGTCATAACAATAGACTTGCAATCATGTGAAGCATATTATAGATAATATTATTATTTGAATAAATATTTCACTAATCAAAATATCAATTTATTGAATTTTTGATGAAAATCACTATCGGTTATCTTAGCACTTAAATAGAAATGTCGATGAATATGTCTGTGACTGAATCATAATTTATTAGATCCATCCATACAAATAACAAGAATAACAAAACAAAAAAAATGCGAACAATGATAATTTATTCATCACTGTCGTTATCATTATTATTCGATGATGATTCATCCATATTTTCATCATTTTGTTTCGACGAAGGTTTTTGTGTCTTGGCTTTCTTTTCTTGTTTTCGTTTAACATTTTCTTCTTGTTCACGTATTCGTTGTTCTTTCAATCGTTTTTTGTCTGTATTACGTTTACGTAATTCAGCTACTTCTTCTGATGTTTTAGAAATATATGTATGATAAAGAACTTCACCATCACATAGACCTTCTTCAATTTTAACTAATTCAAGTGTCATTCGTGGTCCAATTTCAGTTAAACGTATAGCACTTTGATTAGATTTTAAATTGCCACGACTACGTAATTGTTGTGAAAGAATAACTTCATTTTCATCATTATTACCAGTACTTTCATCTTCACTTTCCGATGCATTACCTTCCCTTCAAAAAGACAAAATTTATCAATAAATTATTATGTTTATCATTTCAAATTTTTCGTTTAAAGAAGTATTTTCGACGCTTTTTCCTTAGTAATAACAGTTGGAACAAATCGAAGAATAGATTTTATTAAATGAGACAATTTCGTATCAGAAAACGTACTTACCATTTATCTATTAAGAGGTTTGAACGAAAGATCTTTGGAAAACCAAGACTCCCGAAAAACATTTTACAAACAAATTCGTCTAGTAGAGAAAATTTTCTGAACAAAATAAGATGTCCCAGAAGTCTCAGCGACCTATCCTCAAATCTCAATTCATACACATATGATTTAATCGTACATAAAACAGCATGAGGATGACAATGATATGAGAAAAATAATGCTGTTTCACATGCAATGGATCAGTAAAAAGAATCTCGTCAGAAGACGGTAACTGAATGTTATCACTCATCTTTTGAATTGATCGAAATATTATTAAAAGACTAAGACAACATTCACTTTGAAACAGCGAAAGCCTTAGAATAAACAAAATATATGAATTATGATAGATTTCTAAGCAATGGATACTTGGCAAGCATTTCTTATGAAAGAAAATTGTTTCAGCTAATCAAATCGTTTTCTTTCGAATTGTTCTAACTGTTATCATTAAGAAAAAAAGCCAAAAATACTTCATTTTGCCTTCACTTTACCTGTACATAAAATCACTAATATCATTAAATCGTGATAGATCAGGTACTTTGCCTTGTAATAGTTTTTTCGCTGCTCGACTAATACCACTCGGTACAATTTTGATATTACTAAAAATTAAAAAAAACATCATACTATCGTACTGTTGTTTTTATGCATCAACAACTTACTAATGTCGAAATTCGATAAATCCATTAACAGGATCACGTGAAAGTAAAACACATCGTTTTATAGTACTTAGATCAACCTAATCATTCAACATTTATTTTGATTTTTGAGAAAAATTATGAAAAAGAACACTTACGGTTGCAACATTAATTGATGGAAACATATTTTGAAACATAGTTGCTATAAGTTTAATATGTATTGAGTCTTCTTGAAAACCAT